ATAAATACAGTGTGAACTTATTTTCTTAATAAAAAAATAATCTTAGTTATTTATAACTTCTAAAAAGCATAACTAAAACTAGAACAGAAAAATAACAGAAAATGGCAGCTGTGGAACGGCTCATGTAAAACCTGTGCGCAGCTCTTGCTGTGTTGATTGCTGACAGTGAGCATGCTGCCTCTGTGGGGGATTTAAACCTGTCATAGTGGCTTTTAACCAATTAGAAAGCATGCTGTCCTGAGACCCTGCCCCCACTAATAGCAGAGACACTGAGCCCCTCCCCCGGGTGTCACATTACAGCCCTCCCTTTCTAGAGGAATCCTCTCACTGTCGGAGCTCAGAGCTAGCGAGCCAGCACAGACGTGCAGCAGGAAAAACACAACCTGCAGGTGGCACCACTTTATGCTACGCTCGCACACTTCCTTGAGGCTCATTGCTGTTCGTTTGGCACTTCTTAAAATGTTTTAATAAATAGCAACAAAGCAGATGTTTCAGGAGTTACTTACGCTGCTGATTTCTCTTATCACTTGCATTCTTTAAAGGCAAGCAAACTGGGCAGTCGTGCCGCGTACAGTTCTTCCAGTGGGAGATGATCTGTCTGGATGATGCACAGTGAGCCACTGAAGGAAAAATGAAAGCAAACATTTCACCCTCAGAGAGGAGCGTCAACCAACAACACATATGGAGACTAAGACAACAACAACAACAAAAAAAAACCACTGTGCTATAATAAAACTAAAATGAAATTATACATTTGAATTCATGTCACTTTAAATCATTTTCAAAGCTGATAGGGCATAAACACTGAGGTCTAAAGTTCACAAATGCTGGGTATCTGATGGAAGCTGCTGGGGACAAGTGCAAACATATTAAATGTAAAAACAACCATCCTTACAGCAGTTTGAAGCGATTAAATTAATGTTTGCTCATGCTGTCTGTCACCAGGGTTCACCCAGTCAGCTGAGGTAACTGGCTCCACTAAAGCAATAAAACACAAGGATACAACCTTTCGGTTTTATACTCTGCAAAGCAGTGTAACTGACTGGAAATCACACTGAACAGACATTAAAACAACCTTCACCAACATCTGTCCTCATAACACTTTGTTTTTCATCCCAATGGCTTTTAACATTTTCTCCTATCAGTTATAAAAGTCATTCATCAGCAATGCTATTATATTGCATTATATTGACAGCTCATCTACAGATTTTAACATGGAGAAGACTTTATCAAAGGTCTAAACAGAGTCAGGAAGGGGGGAAAAATAGACTTAAATGACTTTGAACGCGGAGTGATTAGTAACAGTGCAGATGGGCCACGCTGGAGGCCACTTCTGTTAGCCAAGATGGAGAAACCGAGGCTTCAGTTCACCACTACGGCACTATAATGAAGCACAACACCATTTTTGCACTCTGCATCACCACTAGTGGGAAGAGTGTCATGGCGATGTCAAAACAATCAGCATTTTAATAATCCAATACTAGAAAACAGTTATTCAAAAAAAAAAAAAAAAAACACTTGTTCCTAAATATAGACCAACTGACTCCTTCGCATTTCCCCAAGTTTTTGGACCTCTTACAGCTTCAATAGCTCACCCAATGGTTTTAGACTTCATCATGGAGAGTACATAGTTGTTGGGTTTTTTTAAACACCAACTGAAAACATACTCTCTTGCAGAGAAGGCAAACATAATGCAGTTGTGTCACCATACTTTTCTTTGGAGGAATAAAAGAATAAATGAATGTAGAACTATGCCACATATCAGCTTCACTAAAGACGCAAGCATATGTCAATGGATTCTGATGTTTGGGAGCACCTTTAAAGGGTCAGCAAAGCACCTTTATTTGCAGCACTGAAGCAGCACACCTTCATAACAACACAAGCTGATGCTATTTGTCTAATATAAGCTTTAGATATACTGGCATGATCCCGTCTACTGTGAAACCAATCAATGCAAGAAAATCTCCCTTAGCTGACGACTCAGTTAGCTACTAGACAGTGAAGCAACAAAACAAAACAGTGCACCCCCTCCATTACTCCTCCGTTAAGCTATAAAAGCCCTGATGGCTCCTAACACAGGTAGACTGAAACTGATGGAGCAGAAAAATAGTAGGAACTTGTAGCAACCAACATCACTACTATAGGAAATCACTACAATGTTTTGCAAAATAACCAGAAAGATAGATGATGTACAGGCCAGCAGAGGATTGCTTTGCAACACAATTTGTTTGCACCAGATCCATGTTGTTTGGAAACATTTAAGTGTAGCATGATCCTTCATTTGTTTATCAGTCGTAATATTTATTTGGTAGTCTTCCAGAACCACCTTAGCTGACGTCCTGAGTAAGGGATGATCAGTGGCTAAACTATGAGCTCATACCCTTTCCTCAAGGAAGAACCCAGCCACCTACCAGAGGAGGCTCATTTCAGCTGCCATATACATTGACAAAGATGATTTTCTTTGGGACTGGATATTTATCTTCTGACTGCAGGCAAGAGTTGGAACATAATCCACTCCATATGTTGTGATCTTTGGTGTTTGGCTCGACACCGACAAAATAAAGCAGTAGAGATAATACTGCAGACGATATCTACATCCATCTATCCACCTTCTGCTTCATTCTACCATAATCCCTGAACAAGACCTCAAGAAGTGAATAGAGTAGTGGACGTTTGTCTCAATATACTCTGAATGCCAACCGGCCAGTCAAAGCTATTCAAAATATTACAACTGTTTAGTGTAGATGCTGTAACTAAAGGGGAAAAAAACTCAAAAGATTGCTCATCTCAATATCAGTAGGAATTTCAATAGAAGAGAAGCAACTTTCGTCAAGATATACAGGAAGGTTCATTAGCAAATTAAAGCAAATTAACATGAAGATACAAAACTTAATATCGTACGTTGATGTTATGCACTGGCTGTAGTAAACAGGAGGTAGAATTAGCAAACGCAAAGTTTTTAATAAAAGTATTGTAATCTGGCAAGTTTTACTTTATAATTTGAACTAGTCTTAGACAAATGTGATTCTAATGTTGCATTCAGGACAGTAGAAGAGGTGGAAGCAGCTGATTAGGTAAATATTTGTGCGTTTTCATCTCTTCTGTAGTGTAATTACACTTTGTTTTGAAAATACTTAAAACAAAAAAAAAAACCACCTCAAGCGAGCATAAAATCTTTTTTGCAGAACTTAAGTTTATGCAAATTTTGCTGTTTCTATTCTAATGCGATAACTCAAAGTGCATAAAAAACTTAATGGAAACATGTCTAATGAATGACATCAAAGTTGCAGTTTTCTACAAAAAAAAAAAAAATTGATCTATAATCTCTACTGTAAAATTGAGACTGTTATTAAAATCATGTTAATCTTACCAAAATATATTTGATGCTAACCAGTTTGTATCTCAACTAAAGCATTTAGTTAAAAAAAACAAAGAAAAAAAAATAAATATTGCTTTTATTCTCTATTACTCACCCTGGCAGGACTTGCCAGCCTGGCAGTGAGTCATATGGTTGAGTACGTTCTTCATGGTGCGGCAGTGAGGCAGGGTACAGACCCTAACTTCTCCGTTGGCCTGTTCCCTCCGTTGGCACTTGTGCGCGTGGAGCAGCAGGACCAGCTGCTGCTGAATAAGTTTTCTCTTTTCAGGGTCGGCAGTCGGGCCTCCGGATACGCCGCCGGTCCCAGGGACCATGCCCATCGATGCTACTTGCTGCATTTGGGACTGCAAGGATGCGGGAAAAAAAAAAGTTATTGTATAGATTACATCCTTAAAAAGACAGGTATAGATATTGTAAATCTCAAGAATTAAAACTTGCAATAGAATCATTAGCAGTGGAAATAGTTTTATACACTCATTGCAAAAAACAGGTGAGTGGAAGAAAGTAGAGATGCACCGATCCAATTTTTTTTTTTTTTATCCAATCCAATACTGATACCCGGGCTGAACATGTCAGCCGAATTCCAATTATAATCCAATTCAACTGTTAATTTACGGTTTATTTTGCCAGACCTTGAAAAAAGAACATGGTTAGAAAAGGTAAATTAACACAAATATAAATTTAGATGTTTTTTTATTAACAGGCAGCAAAAATAAATAAATAAAAGCTCCATGTAAAGTACACTGGATTGGATCTTCGATATCAAATCAACAATATCCGATCCAATTAATTAGTCAATATCAGAGCAGATATCTAATCCAGGTATCGGATCGGTGCATCTCTAGAAGAAACACCTAAAAATCAAACAAAAATAAGCTAGAGATTAGATATTGATCATAGTGAAAAATCCCAACATGTAAATCAAACTCACAAAAGTTAAAGTTTGAAATTACCAGACGATTTCCCTTTTCCTTAGCTACAAACAATCCACACGGATTATTTTAATCTTACACAATAAATTCTGCTTTATTACCTGGCGGCGAATCACTAATTTGTATTTAGTCCTTTTAAAAGACTACAGTTAGACATGAAAAAACTGAAATATTTATAACTACTCAATGATGCTCCATAATATCTGCAAGACATTAAAACCAACACTTGTGTTTGCGTTTGTTTGTTTTTAAGTTCTTTAGGATAGAAAAAGGCTACAAAAACATAAGCAGGTAGTGGTTCTTGCACAGATTTAAACCCTCACCATGTTTGGCACATTCCCAGCTCCCTTTAACTCAGGAGGGAATGGGGGCAAGTTGTTAGAAAGGGCCGACTTGTTCTGGAGTTGTTGGGCATTGACCCCCGCTGTCCCCATCTGCTGCACCCCGGCCTGGCCATACTGCTGGCCAAAGGGAGCTCCAGACATCGGCATCTACATGAGATTAAAAAAAAACAATGGTTAGTTAAAGTATGAGTGTAAGGATATTGCAGCTTCTGAATTCCCATCCAAATATCTGGCTGGTACTTAATTTGGGAGCTTGGTTGGTGGTTTCTCTTGACGATATTATAACACCCTTGACAACAAGAGATTTTACTCAAAGTGCCAAATTTGTGAGTCATGAAACTAAGTGGCAGAAAGCTGGACTGATCATCCATGGCCAAATGTTTCTCCTCTCTGATACATGTCTTGTTTCACCTATTTATTTGCAATTCTTTTGCATGGCTAAAAAGTACCAACAGGTTTTAAATTGAGTTTCTATTCATGTAGTTTGTGTTGTTTTGTTTAGCTAATTATAAAGGGTTTAAAAAAAAGCTACACAATTTTGCAATCCAACACCACAAAAGCAGAACGAAGATATGCAGCCAATTCTGGGAACTGAGAAGTTGGGATATTTGGTGATAAGTTGAATTAGATATTCAAACAACTCTTCCAAAAAAGTCCTAAAATTGTGTTTCCACGAACAAGATTCTTCTGTGTTAATGTTGTTTAACAGGACTGTACAGTGCATATGTTTGAACAGCATTTCCCCCTTAAAACTAGATTGATGAGAGCAGGAAAAAATTACAAATGGGAGCATGCATGCAAGTACAGATTTCACACCTTTCATTTGTAATTTGCTCCTTAAAAAAAGTTGGGTTTGATTTAAGTAAGGTATCCACTCATCTTTTATTAAAATTTAAGAAAGGAAAGAAATTTCATGTGGGCAAATAGCAAATTAGTATGGGAAAAATTCTTAAACCAGTTACGAGAGATCACGGTTGCCTTAAAGATTTCTGGCAGCAGCACCTAATGCGGCACAATAGTGTGCACACAGGTATCTCCTTATTGGCACACAAACAGAGAAACGCTGTGAGAATGTGAACCCTGTGCCGGACTGACATCAACACACAGATCAATACGTGCACAGGTGAGCAGTGTTGCCAACTTTGTCATTAGGGCTGTGTCTGAACGTCCGCCATAACCATAACCACTATATAGAGGTTACGCCATTTTATACGAGTGTTCAAATGTCTAGTGGTTGAAAAAGTAGTGGATTCAAAATTTTCCACAATGCACCTTGAAAAGAAGTGTGCAACTATGGTCACTAGACGGGCAGATTGATCCCATAATACATTGTAGGAGCTCTCCCCGCAAAGCTTCCCTATGTTTCCCTATTGAACATGAGCCCTAGATGTGAAAAAAACTGCACGGATACCCCTGAAATAAGAAGTGGGATGTCAAAATAATATTTGTAACTAGAAACTAGAAAAGATGTATGAATTATAAGCAAGGATTCATTTTAATTAAAAAATTGTATTGCCCCTGATTTTTTTCTTTGCTCGTAATTTGTTTCATTGGGAGCACTTGTGCTCCTTGTAAAAAAGGGTAAAGCCCTGTTTGGCCAAGTCTAGGATTGAGCTTCAGCGAGCCATTTTTTTTTTCTCTCAATCCATACCAATACCTGGGCTGAGCAATTCAGCCATACCCAATATCGATCCGATACTACTGTTGAATAAACTGCATACCTAGTGATGCAAGTGAAGGCATCAGGCATGACATAAAAAAACATGTTGACCTCATAAGGTGAAGGAACAGGAACAATAACTGGGCTATTTTGGAGAGAGAAAGTGAAACAGAATTTTCCTTAAATGCCATTACAGAAACTCAACACAGTTATCAGCAGTTTGTGTGGTTCCACATGCTTATATGCATGTTTGAAAACATCAGGGCACAGTCCTCATGAGACGACAGATGGTGTCCTGGGGTACTTTGTCTGAGATCCTTACCAGGGAAACTCTGAGCTCCTGGACTGTCCGAGATACAACCTGGTGGTGAGGTTCAAGAGATGTTCTAGCCCAGCCAGAATCATAGCCTCATCCTTTGGAAACTGTCTGCATATTCCTGCTACATGAGGTTGGGCATTTCTGTGGACCAGGAGGAACCAGGATCCACTACACCAGCAAAGTGCCTAAGAATGGGACTAAGGATTTGATCCCAACAACTACTAGGTAATCAGGATTTCATGGTTTATCCAGTACAGATCTGAGTATCCCTCCATTAAATGCCTACCCAGACAAATGCTGACTAGCATTTCTCCACCGGAGAAAGGTGGACTCCACTCTTTAGGTCGGTGGCGAGTCCTTGTCTCAAGTGGAGGAGTTCAAGTATCTGGGGGTCTTGTTCACAAGAGAGGGACGGATGGACGTGAGATCGATAGACGGATCGGTGTGGCAGTGATGCTGTCGCTGTATCGGACTGTCGTGGTGAAGAGGTAGCTGACTCGGGGGCAAAGCTCTCGATTCACTGATCAATCTACGTTCCCACCCTCACTTATGGTCATGAGATCTGGGTAATGACCGAAAGGACAAGATTGGGAATACAAGCGGCCGAAAGGAGTTTCCTTTGCAGGGCGGCTGGGCGCACACTTCGAGATCGGGTGAAGAGCTCAGTTACCAACTTGTTTTTAGCTTTGATCAACTTTTGGAGCTTTGCACAGAAAAACAGTTAAATTTCTGATATGATCCAGATTCACACATCCTTCAATATTTAAGATTATCGGGTTGGATCTTAGCCCCACACTAATCGCAAATCCCAAGGTCCTCCAAACAGATGCCCTCCGACTTTGGAATCCAACGCCTCCTTTTCTTACAGTCTTTGCTCTATTGATGCGTTTAGTGAGCATCTAAAGACATTCTTTTATAATAGGGCTGTTAAAAAGATGAGGCTCTATTACAGATTTTCTATTATGTTTTTGTTTAAATGAATGTATTTATTTAGTGTAAATGTTTAATTGCATACCTATATGTAAATTTTTATTTAATTCATCAAAGAATCAATTGCTCTGAAGACTTATTTTGGGTGAATTTTAAAAGGTGTTTTTGAATGCTAATTAAAAAAAAAAAAGATTTTATTGGATGTAAAATTAGCATGAATATATATATATATATATATATATATATATATATATATATATATATATATATATATATATATATATATGCATGTATATATTAATTTCCAATTCCATACAGTGTATTATCTTTTGACCAACATTAAAATAAAAGGGTTTTTGTCTAATTTGAGGTTTGCAGATGCATGAGGGTTCATCATTTTGTTTGTTTAAAGGTATTGCTTGATTCCCATTTCAAATGATGAGCAATAAAAGCTTTCAGCTGGTAGATATGTCCTTTTTTTAAATTGAGTTGGTGATGCTAACATTTTTAAGTGAAACACCGGTAATGGAATTAAAAGAATCCTTACTTTTTAGTATATAGCTACGTAGGATATAGTTTAAAGAGCTATATCCCTAACTTAAGTATTTTTTCCTCACTGTTTACTAGAAGTTGTTGATTGAGTAAACAAATTATGTATTTTCATTCAATAGTTCCACAGTTGCAAGAAAATCTAAAGCCCATGGTGCCAAAAGCCATTTTAGATTTGAAGTGAAACTTCACAGAAAATAGAATTATGCTTGTATTTACAATAAATCAATTAAAATAATTTAAGAGACTTTTGCAGCTTAAATTGTTTTCATCTACTGCGCCTTAAGCAGCAGCCCGACAGAGCAGGCCCTGCCCAGTCTAAAGAAAAAGGGTACGTGACACACGCAGAGAAAGACCAGCTTGCACAACAAATGAGTACTGCACTGCTGCCTGTCTGCCTGCCCTTCCCCCTCCCCTTCACATAAACCCACAGATGCTTGTCTGCCTCTCATTCACACATTCAGCCTCTTACCAATGGCTTCTCCCCCTTGATGAACTGCCTTTATCATAGGATTGTCTGCCTGGAAGAGGAAGGCACACAGCAACTGAAAGCTGCCAGCGTCTTACCATTCTCAGCTTGTGAACATTTTATCTCAACAAGTGGCATTAGGAAACACAATGCTAAAGGAAACTTTGTGATTGAAAACGTTTTTGAAAGTGTTTGCAACCACATTGTCATTTCTTATCTTCAAAATTTTTTAACTGTTTAGCAAAAAACAATTATTACAATTTGCACCCATTAAGCCCACACCGATAACTAAATCTTTACCTCCAAAACCAGAAAAGATCGACTGAATTAGCTCTGACATAATAAAACTTAACATATGACATTTCCCTTTTGGACCATCTAAACCTTAATTGTTTTGGTTTACTTTGATTTCTCATTACCTCAAAATTGTTGATCAAAGAAATGGGAGACAAACTAATTAAATAATTATCCTTTCAAACATAGAAAATACAATCAAAAATGTGACACCTTGTTTTTATGCTGTTATACATATACTGTCCAATGGTTTTCTTTCACTACCCCCTACATTTCCCTCCATTCATCTTCATAACAACCCACAGGCTTCCTTGCCTCACTAAAGAAAAGCATCCCCAAAGCATGATTCTGCCACCACCGTATTTCAGTGTTGATTATGAGTGCAGGAGAAAGAGCCCCTGGCAGTGTTTTACATACAACAAAACAAGTTTGATCTCATTTCACCAAAGCTACTACTTCCATGCTCCAAGCCATCTCAAGACTTGAAGTAAACTGTAAATGACACTTCTGTTAACAGTGGCTTTTCTTCTTGGCACATTTAGATACAGGTTAGATTATTTAAAAGTGCAACTAAGGCTATGTTCACACAGCAGCCAGAAGTGACCCAAATCCGATTTCTTGCCCATATGTGACCTGCATTTGATCTTTTCACGACAGTCTAAACAACACAGATCTGATTTTTTCCAATGCAACCTGAATCTGACACATATCGGATCTTTTCAAATGCGACCTAAGTGTGAACGACCAGGTTGCATTCAACCGACCTGAACGTCATAAATACCAGACATAGGTCACTATTCTGCGTATTGCTACACAGAAGTGGCAAGAAAAACAACAACCATGGCAGACGACAATGTTGAGGGTAGTTTTTATGTTTAACCATCTTGAAAAGATTGTGTTTTTAAGTTTGGGAAAGATCGCTGGATGCGCTCCAGTGTTACCATCCATGTTTACTTCCGTAAAGACAGTTTAAACACTGCAAGTACTAATACAGCTCAGTTCCTGAACACAGATTCCAGCTCATAGCTCACAATATGCCAGCAGAAGAAAACAGGGACACTAAAGGGCTGGCTATACTCCCCGCAGCAGTGTGTCGCAGTGAGCTTGTCGCAGATATTTTTGTTTTATGCCCAATATATTGAAGCTTGGTCTAAGCTATGTTATTCCACGCCACAACACAAGAAAGACAATCACGAATTAGCTGTGGGTCTAGCTATGGCCGAGGTAGTGAGGAAGTGGGGGCAAGTTTGTGCGACAATGGAGGGACATGAGGGCGAAAAAGAGCGGGGATCCAGGAGGAAAAAGATGGTCCCAGCATTCTCGCGCACCCTGCTGTTCTAGCTGGTCCAACATCACGAGTCGTTTTCCACAATGGCGGTCATACAAACAAAACAAGCCGGTAAGGTACCATACAGGAAATATGAATAGTGTAGTGCGGATGTAGATTTGACCAATCAGATGCCTTCTGTCTGCGGTGGAGGTGCAGCAGTGTGTGCAGAAGGGGCTGGGGCACATTTGTATTTACTGCGACACACCGACAACCTGGTTTCTTAGTATAAATCAGCCTTAAGGCAGAGGAGGCAAAGTGCTGTTTTATACTTGGAGGACAAATCCTACAAATAATCATATTTTGTTCATATTGGGGTCATATATTTTCTTACTGCATCTGCCAGCCAAACCTCAAACTATCTATTACATAACATATCACATACAGATTTCCTCACCTAAAATAAAGGTGGGAATTTCTGACTTAAAAACAAAGTTTTTGCAGTTTGACAAAAATTATGCATACTTACATTAAACACAGCAGTAGCTTGTTTTCCACTCACTGTTTTAGGTATGTAAATAAATAATATAAATATATATAAATAAATCGATATTAGGAACTGGGAGATCGATATTATACCGGGCATTCAAAAATCACGATATATCGCCAAATAAAATTTTTTCCCACATCACTGGCAACACTACAACACCGAAAAGAAATTCTTCATCTCCTAAGCAGATATTATCATTTTTATAACATGGAAAAAATATTTCAATTTAATAAACTAATAATTTACAATTATTGCAAAGTATATATATATATTTTTTTATATCTGTGATAAAAATAAGAGAGGGATATAAAAAAATGTATGACTCCCTTTTTAGATCTTTGTTTATAGAAAGTACTGCAATTTAACTTTTTTTTAATTGTTTTTTTGTTTTTTTACTAAAGCTCGGTATGAGAGGACAACAGGTAAATGAATTTCTGAATGACATTCTAGAAAGACATGAGGTGCATGTCTGCACAGGAAAGGAGGGGCTTGTTTCATGTGGTGACGTCTGCTGTAACGATGTCAGTAACAACTAGCCTGTTGGTTTAATCTTGGCTTTCTTTCAAACCACAAAAGCCCTGTATCTCTCAGACAAGCGGAGGAACTATTTCTCACATTGAGCACTTCAAAGTGCTTGAAACTGGAGATATTCAGAGACAATGAAACCAGCAGACATAACGTAAACCACCTCTCACTCAAAGATCTGTGTTTATGTACAGAGGCAAAGGTTTTTATGCAACATTTTCATCACTTAATCCCTTTTTGACATTTAAATGCCAAAAAGAGAGTAATAAACTAATCAGCACCTCCAGAATCCAAGCAGAATATTCCTAAAGACATGTAAACATGAAACATTTCTAACCTGATGGAGAGTTTATTCGGATTACTTATGTCCATGTAAACATAGCTAATGACTCAATACAATTTGCTGGGTTTCCTTGGACTCTTTGAAGTTTTTAACCAATCTGTATGATTTGAATGAACTGACACTATAAAGTGTTTTGAAACGACATATGCTACATATTGGCGTTTGACAAATAAACCTATTTGAAATCCTCCTAAAGGAGGGCAATGGTGCCTGCAGCCAACACTGAGCTGTATCTAAATACACTAATGGAAGATTTATTGAAAGAAAAAAAGTCTGGTAGAAAAGCATCAATATAAAAGATCAAATACAGTTATTTTCTACAAAAAATTATTTTCTGTAAAAATTCCAATTATATTCTTATTAGGTTACAAATACACTTAATTTAGTTATTGGCTAATAATGTGTTCAAGTAATAAAATTCCAAGAACTCACCTTGTTCAGGTTGCCAGCTTGCTGGGCGTTCATCGAGTGCGGTGCACCCATCTGTGGCCCTCCTTGGGTTAGAGTCTCTGCCAGTACACTTCCCCCAACACCAGGTCCAGCACCCCCTTGTGTCCCTTGCATTCCCTGGCCTTGGTACTGCATACCAGGCCCCGGCCTCCCACGACCTGCTGGTCCCATAGCACCATTAATGACCTGTCCTGCTTGGCCCATCACACCATGACCCTGGCTACTGTTCAACATAGCCGGGTTAAAGCCCATGGCCCCACTTCCTTGTCCAGTGGAAACACCTCCTTTCTGACCTTGGGGCGACTGGTGATTGGGAGAACTCTGCCCAAGAGGACCTTTACCCAGCACAGCACCCAGCTGGCTCGACATCATGCCTCCCTGTTGGGGACTGCCTGAATTGAGACCACCGCCCAAAATAGAAGAGCTTCCTGGTCGGAGGAGCTCGGAAAGTTGCTTGTGTTTGGAAGCAGCATCAGGTACAGCCAAGCCGAGACCAAGCGGCCCTCCACTTGGGCCACAATTTGCTGACGGTCCATTTCCCAACTCTCCATTAAGGATAAGCTCATCAGGAAGGTCGTTTTCCAGATCAAGCAGAGATACGAGATCTAAAGAAATAAAAGAGGGAGATAAAAGAATGGTTATAAATCATTGCTAATTATTCAATCTTTTTATACAGAACCTACAATGCTAACTGTTGGATACAGCATTTCTAGGTGCAAGAAAAGGTAAAGAAAGAGGACACTACCAATGTATTTCAGTGCTTACTTCTGAGTCAAATGGGTCAGTTATAGTTTTTCTTTTGGTCAAGATCATTATTTTTCTGTTAGAATTTCTTTTTCCTTAACTGATCGATAACAAACTACACATATTGTTTCTGGATTTGTGGTAAATATGAAAGGTGAGTAGAAAAAAAAATATACACAAACAATGCTATCTGGCTACGTTTCCTCAGCAGCCTGAAGTGACCAAAATTAGATTTTTTTTTTTTTGCCCATATGCAACCTGTATATGACCTTTTCATAGCAGTCTGAACAACACAGATCCGATTTTTTCCAATGCGGCCCAGGCCACTTGGCTATGTGGTCCTGAATCCGATACGAATCTGGTGTTATTAAATGCAACTGGTGTCTAAAAGGCCAGGTCGCATTCATCTGACCTGAACATCATTCATACTCAAGAAAGGTCACTATTCTGCATCCTGCTATGCAGATGTGGGAAGAAAAACAACAACCATGGTGGACAACAATTCGTGGGGGCAGGTTTTTTTTAACAATCTTGAAAAGATTGAGTTTCTTTTTTGGTTTTCTTTTTGAGTTTTTACAGCACTAATGGCACTTTTTCCTGACAGTAGGCCGACAGGAAAGGGGGTATGAGAGAGGGGGAGAGACATGCGGCAAAGGACCAAAGGTCAGATTCAAACCCGCGTCGGCTGCGTCAAGGACTAAGGCCTCCGTACATGGGTCGTGCATACATGCTTGTGAGGTCATTGCGTCCTCAACTGTGCATCTGGGACACTATGAATGCAGTTCACACGGGAGATCACATAGAGGTCGCATATTTCTGGAAATGTGAACAGCAACGCCAAAAAAGTTCAGATATCACAAAAAAATAAATAAAAAGGAATTATAAACAAAAAAACATCGGAATTGATCATTAAGGCCTGAACATAGCCTCTTTGACCTTCTAAATGAATACTAACTGGGGAATTTTTACCCTCACGTTAAATGCCCCCCTAATTAGCTTAAATTGTCCTTAAAATGTAAAATTCTCTCAATGTGCAAATAAAAATATAAAAAGAACATAAAAATGAAATGACTTTATCCAAGAAAGAGCATATGTACAAATGTAGCTCACTGAAGGACAAACTAAAGTCTCATTCAGCTTACTACTGTGGAAATGGAGCTTAACATGATGCTTTAAACATTTAAATTGAATTCTTTAAGAATCCTTTAAACAAGGCGCTTAACTTAAATATACCATGAAGTTTAGAGCTGAAATCTGATTAATTGTGATTAATCGATTATTGAAATAATCAACTGATTTAGTTATCGATTAATCATTAGTATAAAGACGTTAAAACATGCTTTTAGCTGACAGACCAACCCACTTAAAGCAGCAAACATACCAACATTTTTTAAAAAACACTGACATGTTAATTTAAGATAAAAATATTTTGTCTGTCAATATTCTCTATCCAAAACTCTTAAAATTGAAAAGTTTGAGTTTCAAAGGCTTCTATTACGGAACCTTAATAATAATAATAACGGACAGATAATCGATTAGCAAAATAATCATTAGTTGCAGCCCTAATAAAGTTATAAAGAAGGACTAGCTGTACTAAATATATTTTGTTGGGTATGATCACACAAATTGTGACTTATCAAAGAAAAGAAAATAAAGCCTGTCTGCTGAAATTTTTTCCTTTTATAAATGAGCACAAGTTGGTAATTAGTTCAAATAGTGATTGAGCCAAAATGATATTGGTATAACCTTGCCAGCAAGCTGAATTCTTGCAGTAGTTATGCTTTCACAAATGCGTGACAAATCATCTTGTATGGTTTCAGTTGCAACTGTTCATGAAAAACACAATTGCAATGCAATTGGTCGGCCAATTTTTGGTTTAAGGCGGGACAAATAGCGGTATTGAAAGCAAAGCTACGCAGCATACAATCACAACAAAATAAACATTGCAGCAAAAGGAGGATGTTAAGGTAGCTGCTGATCTATCACATCAGTTAGTCAGAATCCGCGATTTCATCTTTAGAAGAGGAACAGCAAGGGTTTAAAGTGTAAGTTGTTAGGGTTTCTTACGGTGTCTGTTGATATTTTCATTTATTATAAAGATTGATTAAACCCAAACTTTGGTAGGGAGGAACTAGTTGATGCCCAATCAGTTTGGAAGGTTCTACTGAATGTCCCTCCTTTCAAATTTGTGCTACTATATAAATGTTCTTCTGCACTTCCTGTTAGTTTTCCTTTTTAAATAATAAAGTATGTATATTTGCATTTCCTATGTATTAGATTTAAATAAGAACCTGTAGAGAGCTAAGGCCAAAAAAACCATCAACTGACATATTTAACAAAAGTCTTAATAGTGTGAGGCAAAGCAATCATTTGGAATTGTGTAAATAACACACTACCAATGAAAACCTAGAGTTTAAAACTCCAATCACGTGTCTATGCCACATGTAGGTGTGTATGCTTTTGTACTCAAGCCAGTAGACAACCACCCCACCCCTTCACACACCTTACTTATTCTGTTGCCACTGAATTGGAACAAAAGAAATCCAACCCATGTCTTGATGATTTACTGTAAATATGTCTTCCTGTAAATGCACTATAATATCATCAACACCTGCCGAAATGAACAAGTAACATTACAGCTTAGATTTGAATATGTGCAATTTATTTTTGTGTTTATTACTTACATTTAAATCTTAACATTGTCAGTTATTTCTTCATGCAGACTGCCATGCCTGTTGAACCTATTAGTTACTACTGTAATTTTCTTTGTAGTTCACTTTTGTTACCTACAGCCTTCAGAAGTATTTATACCACACTGATGGAGAGTCTTCAATGGCTCTTACACCATTTTGCTTTTTTGTATTGTACTTAATGATGAAAATTGTACTGATTTTGTCTAAATTTCTATTCGTCCATTCGGCAAAAAAATGAACAGATCCAAAATCACAACAAAAGGAATTGTATATAAATTCATTAGGGAAATATAATGAAATTAAATTATATTTTTAGAAATATTCTTCACCATGTTCAGCAAAGTGTTTCATTATCATTAGAAATAAACCAATACATGGTGAATACCAAGGAAATGATGCCAAATGGTTTGTTTAGGGCTTTGAAATGTTAAAGTTTGATAGTTTTCATACAACCCACCTTCTCCTTTCCCACCCTAACTCCAGTTAATTAGGAAACCATAGTATTTCAAAAAATAGATAATGATAGTAGAGGATCCTGAAGCTCAGTTTGTGATCTATGAGCTTTTGTTTATTTGATTTGGCTTTAATACATGTTCTCTGCAACATAAATGTTAAGTTTCCAACTTTATCTCTATATAAACGTTGACGTGGATTTAAAAGAGTGAAATATACTGAAATATAATGCTGTGTGCTGAAATTAAATACCCATACTGATATTTTCAATAATTGTAATGTTGGTGATATTTATGACAGCAGCATAGTTTCACGAAAGCCGTCTTTCTAATGACAAAGGAGTCAGAAGCATAAATTCTCTTGACAGAGTCTTTAGATCTGTTGCATGTCTGAAGAATTAAGTCTCAGCAGCAGGTTTGAAATCCGAAAAAAATACACCTGCAATGTCAGAACTGGCAGTGTTCATATGGTGATTGAGATAGCTTTGGAAACGTGGTTGTTATACAGTGCAATTAAAAAAGGTAATAAACCAAGTCCTTTCTAACAGTCATTGACGAGCAAAACAATGTCACCTGTTATAGTCTACTTCATTCTGCATTACTGTTGAAGAAACTACATTCCTCAGTTTTTACAAACTGAACATTCATGGGCAAGCAAAGAATATGGTCAAAGGGCAGATCAAAAATGTTTGGTTAAAACAATGCAAATAAAGTTAGTATGTAGAGAAATGCATCAGACAGGCAAAGCTGAACGTACCTGACTACAAACCAAGGAAGAGTGCCTGCAGGCAGAACAGTTACAGAGGTTTTGTACATAGCAAACGTCTATTATAAATGGAAATGAAGAGCAGATTTGGTGAAAGAAAGTTCAAAGCTTTGAAAGAAATCTGCTTAGTGTGAAGTTTGCAGCCCTGACAAGAAAAATCATTACCAGACAACTGGAGAAACAGAACAATGCTAACATAAGTGAGCTTTACAGAGATAGCCAGAGATTAAAAACAGTCCCTGACTACTGATTTGCAAACAGCTCGCTAGAAAACGTGTTTTAGAGCTACTTATTACTGCTAATCAAATGAACAATTCACAGATCTAATGACCCAAACAGCTGCTGAGATGAGCCCTCTTTATGTGCTGGGCAAATATTTGAATAATAACCAAAAAATAATTAAATTCAAAGTCAAACAAATTTGAATAGAACTTTGTTTGAAATGTTAATTCATAAAGTAAAGTCTGGCTGTTCTATTCTCTAATTATCTTTAACACCAATAAAACATGGAACAGTTATCCACAGTACTAAATTTCAAGCATTAGTTTCATCTTGCAGCAAAAACATACTAATCAAACCATGCTTCCATTTTATGTTGACATATGCCAATTTAAAAATGACAAAATAAGGGGGAGTTTAACCCCCATTTTTTAAACTTTCAACAAATGTGCTTTACTAAGACAACTGAGGAAGGAGTACAAAACCAGTAGCTTAAAAAAAGTAAAACCATGTGAGCACTCAACAATGGCATGGTTTAGAAATTATATTAAATGTATTGCGCTGGCACACGTGTCAAATGCGAAAGATTAAGGGAAGCAGGAGAGAGAGGAGGCAAAGGGTTTCTGGGTGGTGTCCAGTGACACCCACTCCATTTCACTTCATCTCAATCAGTTCCACCAGACTAGATGTAAGCCATCTGCCAAAATATGACCAACTACGCAAAGGGTAAC